TTCTTTACCTTTTCTACCTTTCCACCATTGATGTCACTGGGGAGGAATTTCTTGCCAATTGTTCTCAAGTCTGTCTAAAATAAAAATATTATTATTAAAATAAAATTATAGAAAAAAGTGAGTGTAAATCTAATCTCATTCACAAATAAAAGATAAAACTATTTAAGGTCTGTGGAACAAAATTTAAATAAATCTTTCAACTGATTATGAGATATATATATATATATTATATAATATATATATATTATATAATCAATCTTTTCAAATGAACAGAATCCCATACATATGCTGTTTAAAGTATGCCAGTAAACTGAACAGTAATATATAAGGCCTTATTTACACCTGGTCATATTTCTTTAGGTAACTTTTTAACTTATTAAGTCTTCCTTATTAAAATTAAAATTTGATTTTATGTAAACTACAGTATTACTAAAAAATTAATGCCACAATCCAAAATCAAATGACTACTTTGAACACACAGAGTATATTTTTGACAACAAAATCCTACATAATCTTGATAGCAGAGACATGAAAACACATTACTCTACAGGCTGCGATATTTATAACATAACAAAGCTGCATAATACACAAATATCCCAGAGAACAGCACCACTACAACAGCAAGAAGTCACAGTAAGTGTGTCCTGTAGTAAAAACTTATTTCATTTGCTTATTAAACAAACTACAGAAATAGAAGGTGAACAAATGATTAACTGCATGAAAACGCAGAAGTACACATTACTCGGGAAACCAAAGGAAAATAAAGACTAAGATAAACAAAGTTGTAGCATTTCCGACATAAAAACAAAACTTCAGCTATACAATCTAAATAAAAAAGAATGTTTAAGGGTTTTGTCCTCTTTAAGAGGAATTAAAAACTGAAGGAATGGTAAGAAACCTGTTCAGAGGAAAACTAATACTCATGAAAAAGACCTAATTATTTAAGCTAAGAAATTATCTTAACTCTTGAGATAGTGAGATCAGATTAATAACTGTATTTGTTATTCCTTAAATACAGTAAACAAATTCTTCACTGCCTGAAGCGCAAAAGAAAACAATGCATTTAATCACAAAAAATTTTAAGGGAGAAATTCATGTTAGACTTAAGGAAAAAACACTAGATGATTAAAATTACCGTAACATAAAGAGATTACACATAGAAAAGTAGGATAGTCTTCTCCAAATACCTACAGTAACAGAATATCCTTTTATTTGAAATATCCATATATGGTCAGCTTAAGAAACAAGCATACATGTTATAC